CAGTGAGTCTCGCCATTCGTAGCACCATATTACAACTCGTCAAAGAGACAAGTGAAGCCGATCCTTTGACTAAATGCGTGCTAAAGTGTTATGGTATCTCTCCTGCCCTGGACTATCCCTGGACGCCTTCAATATCACAATTTTTCCTTGCTTATTTAATTCTAGTGTGGTGCCCTTTTGAGTGGCTTTCATGAAAACCCTCAACACTCTACACTGGTGTTCTCACCTTTCTTCATCCTTGTGCTGAGAATGTTGACCAGTCTGTCATACTGTTACGCCGCCCTCCTTCCCTAGGTCATATCAGAGTCTCCCTCTTGCCCCATAGAATCCGTCTACTATCTCCCTGGTTCAAGTATTTCATTTGACCCTTACCACCCCATCCGTGCTACTCGAGGCATAATTACCCTCCCCTACGTCTGGGTGACTAATTCGAGACTAAAGTCTCATGGTTAAGCATCTGCTATATAGATAACGTCTATGGTAAAACAGGCCTAGTATCCGCCAACTAGCTCTGATATCCGCCACGTCTCTCCTGTTTCTATCCCTAATACCAAGTCTATGACTTTCTCTGTCCCAGTCTCTTATGTACCAACCCAGAAACGTTGTGGTTCAACATTGAACCTAATCAATGCAAGCATGAAACTCACTCAGAGGCTTTAGACTCGAATTAGTCACCCAGACACATGGAAAGGGTAATAACGTCTCGAGTAGCACAGATTGGGTGGCAGAGGTCGAGTGAAATACTTGAACCAGGGCGTCAGCAGACGGATTCTACGGAGCAAGAGGGAGAATCTGATAAGACCTAGGGAAGGAGTGCGTAACAATATGGCAGACTCTGATCAACATTCATAGCACAAGGGTGAAGGGAGTGAGAACGATAGCGTGGAGTATGAAGGGTTTTTATGAATACCGCTCAAAGGAGCACACCACACTAAATCTAAATAAGCACGGTATAAATTATAACAGGGAAGGCGTGATAGAAGGATATATTAAAGGTGAATAGCCTAGACCAGGAAGAGATACCACAACTGTTTAGCACACATTTGAGCAAAGGATCGACTTCACTTGTCTCTTTGACAAGTTGTTATGTGGTGCTAATGGCAAGATTCACTGACGATGCCGGCTAAACGTCTGGGAATGTAACATGTTCACGGTCTGACTTTGGAAATTATCATGAATACAATGGACTCCGGACTAGGTGCGTTCCTCTAAGTCTTCCTACCAATATGACCAAGTTGCGAAGACAAGGTCAAACAACCTCTATAAAGATAGTTTTAGTTTATCTATACAATCATCAATATATATATATATGATTTATTCCTCGGATTTCGCATAAACAGCATAATCTTCATCAACAACTACATGCATCATAGTCACAAATAGATCACTCAACTCGAATTATTCCTTATATTACCTCTATTTTCCTTGTAGCTACCGATCTTACAGTAATGCATTTTCAAAAAATTATATTAAAGGCTCTAATCATTTATGCTTTTTACGGATGTTCGATTCTGATTATCGACTTAACTGTCCTAATATTTATGTAACTCCTCAACCTGATTGAAAATAATGGCTACTGAGAAATTTACCAGTAAAAATGGATAATTTACTGCAAAAAAGGTGGACTATAAATAAAGCCTATTTTGCTTAATAATAAAATATCACAACGCAAATAACGAGTTATGTCTAGAGTGTACTTGCCAACATGTACCCACCGAATAAGTTAATATCACATACAACAGAAAGCCGATGAAGTGTAAAGTGATCCAAACCTCTTTTCAAAAGTCCCTTAGTCAGCGTTAAAATCGAGAAGAGCAAAATAATCTTGGTCTTCTAAAAAAGTAAGGATCAGATCGAGCTATCTCAATACAGCACACAGCATTATAATTTTGCCTACGTATATAAATAGGTAGATCTATAAAATGAACAAATTAAATTCGCATAACATTTGTCACAGGGATAGTAAAAACCATGAGCACTAGTAGCTGTATATTGATGATTACGGCGTATTAGATGGTTTACTACGTAATATAGACAAATATCAAATAAATAGTATCAAATGTTAATGATAACTTACGAATCAATTGTGAGATATCGGGTAACACGATATCCACCTTTTATTTTATTGACCCTTGGTGCAAACTCCTTGGGAACAGCTCCTGTTTCGGCAGTAAACTGGATGACATTGCTCACAGGATCGGAAGTAAGGACTTAAATGTAAATGCAAAATATAGAATATAAATTAGGAAAATTAATTTCACTTTCATTCAAAAGAAAAATATCTGCCAAAAATAGCCCTTATCGAGCAAGAGAATTCAAGAGAGTATAAATGCACTTTTCAAATAAGACCTTGAACTGTGCGTCAAGTCCTGGAGCATCGGCCTCCAACGCAGATACATTCATGCTGGGCTTACTTCATTCATGTAAGAGATAACGTCAGAAGCAATACTTCTACAAAATCCAATAAACACTAATCCAAGAATGGTGGCCAAATGCAATGCAACTTACTTCTTGCAACCTAATTTTGTTTTGCTACTTCGTACATGCCTAACATATTTGAGGATAGGTTAATTTGATATGTGGATGCAGATGTGGCTTTATTTACAAAAGATCCAAGGAAAGACTATTCGAGCCCGTATTAGTCAGGGCTAAAAATATCAGAAAATAAAAATGTAAGCATGAGGAATCCACCATCGTTGAGATCACTTCCACTATGAAATAAAATGTTTGAGCTTCGAAGGTCGATCCGACCAGAGGACGATGGCTGATTCCTTTTGACTAGCTGCCGATTGGCTTTACTAAAAATTCGTGGCACTTTTTCTGAGGCAATATCTTTCGGTTCCAGTGAAAATAGGCTAAGCTTTCGTTTGTCGCATGACGGACATCATCAGAGCAGCATATCATCCTTACAACTATATTCAAGCTAACGAGTCAATAAATGGTTCGAAAAATTGTAAGTATCTATACTTTGCCTTTTTACCAGGTAAACAATATAAATAGCATGCCTCATAGTCACAAATAGACCATTAAACTCGAATTATTCCATCTATTACCTCTATTTTAATTGTAGCTACCGATCTTACAGTAATGTATTTTCAAAAAGCATGACTGAATAACAAGTGCATATGATTACTAAATGCGTCAGCACCCATCCATAATTGGAAGACTGCAACTTTGAAACAGAAAAGTATGAGAATAAAGCGAGAAAGTCGCGTAACCATAAAATGCCGAGATTTTATATCAGTCAAAATTAAGTTTTACGTAGTTAAGGTAGAAGACATCATAAAACTTGTGCTATAATAAGGTGTCGAGGTGTCTTCATATCGAAAAAGTATGGCAAAGTTAATGATAGGTCAATCCAATATAGATTTTAAAAATCAAAAACTCATTTAAAACAAATAAAATAAGCAATGATGTAATGCAAGGTTCTGGCGCTTTATTTAAATTCTTATAGTTGCAAGTTAAAAGCAATACATTCAGCCTATGAAGCACCGCTTAGACTAACTGTCCAGTCAAACTTGGGCGGCTATAGAATTGTTAAATTAAAATGTACACCAAAAATAAAAGCAATATGGAGTTAAACACACTTGTATTGTTGGTATCGCCTGTCATAATGGGCACTCGATATAAGCGCTTGATGTCAGCCGCCAAGAGCCGTCGTATAAGGTGGGGGCCGCCAGCAGACGAGGAAAGAAAGGCAGTCAGACCATGAGCCAGTCTATTCTGAATACGATGTACTTTCCTGCGAAGCTCCTCAGCAGTTCCATCGGTAGAACCGATAGAAGGACAGTGAGCTAACATGGGATTAGAGGAAGACGCCTCAGAGACTTCGCCACTATCTTCTGAAGAGAAGCGATTGCGCTGGTTTTCTGCAAAATATAAACAAGAAATGGAGAAAAATGTAGGGTAAATTAAAACGAGATAGAAAGGAAGAAAGAAAAGGTCAAAATAGTGAATATTGAGTAGAAGCAGTTTGCAGATAGTAAGGGTAATCGAGAGTAGGTATATTCACCAGGACAGAAAGAAAAGTGAAAACATACCCGATGGGCAAAGGCTGATCAAGGGATTTACTTTGGTCATTGGCATACTTGGGGAATAAATTTGATGGTCTGTATATTAGAAGGCAGAATTAGCGATAACTTTGCCTATTGCTTAAGCAAACTCGGATAATACAAGGATACGGCAAGACCAGCAAAAAGAAATATGATATGCATTCACCCAATTTCGTTTAAGGTGGAGAAGGACTGTTAGTAGAACGGGTTGAATTAAGATGAAGACAACGCTTGATATCTGTAGGCATGTGAATCATAACCTAGGCCCTCTGTTCGGTGAAGAACGCTTGAGAAATAGCGCATGAAGTAAAAGGTAGACTGAGAGTGGATCTGAATGATATAGGTTAACCAAAAAGATAGGAAACGTATATATGGGCCCATGAGGGAGATACAGACAGGAGGACCAAGTCGGATCATCAAGCCGAGAAAGAGGCGGGCAAGGTTGACAGATGTGATGACACTACACTAAACTCGGCAAAAATGGCACATCTTTTAAGGAGTGGAATAGATGTAAGTGACAAGTCTTGATATGGCGGGAGTGAGATAAGATAGTCAGAAGTAGTTAGATGTGCCAGGACAGAAAGATAAGTAATAGCATAACTGTTGTACAAAAGACTGATCAAGGAATTGACCTGACTTGTCTCTTTAACAAGTTGTAACTTGGTGTTGAGAATGGCAAGACTTACTGACGATATCGACGAACCGTCTGGGAATGTACCAAGTCGACGGTGAGGCATTGAGGATTATGATAACTACTATAACAGAGAACTTCGGACAAGATGCGTCCAACTAAGTCGCCCCGACAAAACGACAAAGTTGTGAAAACGAGCTCAGGCCACCTTTATACATTAAAAGAAGACTGCAACCGAAATAGATGTCACAACATTTTGATCTTCATATATATTTAATCCGTAATATTCCTATTCCTCAATTAATGTAAGGTTTCGAAAAAAAATTCGAAGCTCATTAGCTACTAAGATACTTCTATATCTATAATAGTAACTGGGCTTAAGTAGATCTCTTATGATAAGAATGTAGTAGTGACCTCTGATTCGTGTGAAAAAGACTGATGAAGTGATTCTTAGGTCGATCTCACCAGAAGACAAAGGAAGATTCCTGTTGCTCCGCCATAGCTTGATTTTACTACGACTTTTAGGTTGGCGAAGTCGATGATATATTCTCCTTCGATTTAAATTAAAACGGTGCGATTTTAATACATTTATATATAATGATCTTAATCTAAGTATGTGTATGCATGTGTGTAAATGCATATGTGCTTGTATAAGAGTATCAAACAGCATAGATTACTTCGATTAATTACAAAGGGCCGATCATCTATCCCTGATCATCAAGGCTTAGTTACAAAGCGAAAAGCATGAGTGAGATTGTGCAAGCTCGGGTGTAAGTCTGGTAGAGATTATGAGGCGTAAAT